ACCGTTCTGATTGGTTCATGTTTTTCAGAGCAGTTGCTGAAGATGTCCTCACATTTGATCACTTTTTCATTTGGAGTCATTCTCCTCATAACTGTTTCAATCTGTCTGACTTCATGTTCCTTTTTTATTTCAGCACTTTCTCCTTCTGTGATGTAGAGATCAGTGAAGATCTGGTTCAGAGAGGCTGGCTTTCCGGCTTTGACAGTCCCCTCAAACACAGACTCATACTTTGTCTTCAGGTGGGCTTTAAGCTTCCGCTGGCCTCTGGCAGCAGCTGTTCCGTTTAAGATGGCTGTAGCAACAAGATGTGTTTAGTGTTTTCATAAAAAATACTCAGACATCCAAACATTTTCTGTGATTTTGTGGAAAAAAACCCTCATATTTTTCATTTAACCCTAAGTCTGTAATGTTTTATTCAATCAGCAATCTGTATCTACACAATACATTTTTTTCATATTTCAGACGTTTTCTTGTTTTTTTTAGCTTCGCACAATCTATAAAGAAGCAAAGTAAAACATCTTACTGTTCTCCAGCAGGACAGCCATGTCCTCTCTTTTCCTGCTATGCAGGAAGTACAGAACCATCTTCAGGAAACCATCGGTGGCTCTATTTCTTGGTTCTTCATCGTCACTGTAGACATCCTCTTCTGATTTCATCTCTAGGATTCTTTGAATCTTGCTCAGTTCATTCTGAACAAATTCACTGATGTCACTTCTAAGAATCTGAAAGAGAATTACATCCTTCATTTGAATCTTTTCCGTCATAAACCCAATCTGCCATCAGCTTTATTTTTGATAGACTATATAAAGTGACTGGCATGACCTTCATAGAAACTTTTTAATAGCAATTCATCATAATTTGTTTAGACTTTGAAGCTTCTTAACTGAGTATAATGACCCTGAAGTACTCAAACTTCTAAGCAAATAGTATCCAATGTTTCTTGACTTTTAACTTTAATTATGGGATACAACCGATCCTGATCCTGTTTTTATAGAAACAGCCTACATTAGAGTGCTGCAGACCCACACTTTCTGTGTGGCCTGCTCTTTGCTTATTTGGTTGGTCCTGAATGTTAAATCAAATCCATATTCATAACTGAGTCTCTGGACTGAAACTGAGAGAATCAATATAGAAATGTTCCAATCAATCACTATGGTAAAAATGCAATAATGAATTTGTAAAACACTTTACATATTTTTTATTTCTTATCTAATTTTCACTGTGATGGTATTCGTTCAACTGCTTTGGCACTTTTTGATTGATATCTGATAAATTGTCAATCTTATGTTGAATCGGACAACGGTCAAGCTGAATCATTTGACTTATTTAACTATATAGTGTTGAATTCTGGCTCTGCTTATTTACACACCGTGAATATATCGTCCTCTGACGGTGTGCATGTGTCCACATCAGAAGCACCCCTGTCTCCAGCTGCTTCATCCAACCTGAAAAGAAATTCATCTTTGAAGTTAATGTGTATCAACTTTCAGCTCATTCTAGACAGACCAACATTTTCCTGCTCGATATCTGAAGATTTTATACTACCTTCTGAGAAAATCTAAATATTGAGAGCACACATAATATTCATCTTAAACATAATCACTTCTTTGACCAAATTTAGTCAACATAAGTATAAAAATTGTTGTACTGATCCAGAGTCACAAATATCACTCATACACGGAGGAGACAGGTTTAACACTGTGTTATAATGTAAACAAAAAAACACAACAGGGTAACAAAATATTGTTAAAGAAACATATTGTAGTTTGAAAATGTTGTTACACTTGGTATGATACATGAAGTAAATTTAAACTTACACTGAATGAGAAGAATCCTCTTTGAATTTCAAAGGGTGATTCATGGATGTATCACTTTTTATGGATAAACCAGACACGGACTCTGGTGGTGTCCTCTCACCAGGAATCAGAGGTGCTGGTCTTCTGCAGGAAACAAACAGAAAACGGGTTAATTTGGTTATTTTCCTTCTTTTAGAAACTGATGATTTTTAATGCATCACCTTCCTCTATGATGAACAAAACATTGTCTTTGAAAAATGTGTTCTACTCCAGCAATATGGTTACATGAGTATAATACACGCAGTATTAACAACTGCCTGTTCATTCTTTTTGTCCAGTTTTATTTAGAACTTTACTTCTTACTTCTTGACATTTTTCCCATCATGGTCTCCATCCTTAGGCTTGTTGGAGGGTTCTTCTTTTCCCGCAGAGTCACTCATGGCTGTGCCCACACCTTTATACAAACATACCAAGCATACTTAATTAATCACATCAGCAATTTACAGTAATCTTGCAAACTGTTGGAAAAGGTTAAACTAAACTGTGTGTGACATTGGATTGATTTATTCCCCTGTGAATTTCTACCATCATTCATTACCTTCTAAGTCAAGTGTGCTGTTTTTGAACTTGTATGTTTTCTTAAAATCAGGCTGTCTCTTTGTTTAAACCTCAGATACGAAAAAATATATCATTTATACGAGGTAAGGAACAACATTGAAATTGATCATCTTGTACATTGTTACTGATTTTTGTTCTATAAAAAGCTTTTAGACCTAAAAATAAGTATCATATAATGATTTAGGTTTTATGTTCTTGTGCTTTTATTTTGGTGTCTGTCTTGTGTTCGTGTTTGTGCCTCTCAGAACTTCCCCTCCCTCAGGTCCCTCCTTTATCCCATTATTACTCAACTCCATGCACCTGTGTTCCTGTTGTCGTACCGTCAGTCTTCGGTCATTCCTTGTTCTAGTCTCAACGTTTTTGTCTCTGGTCTTCTTTCCTCATCTATCTCCCTGTATGTTTCTCTTTTGTTGATTTTAGTTGTTGTTTTTTGTCATCGTTTTGTCATTATTTTGACTCCAGCTTTTGCTGTACCTTTGGTTGTTGTTGTTATTTAAAAAAAAAAATCAGTTTTCATAGTTTCCTTTCCTCCTCCCTGTGTTTCCCTCCCTGGGCCTTGCATTTAGATCCTTGCAGATTACGCTGTGTGGTAATCAAAGTGTAATTTGACAATAAATTCACAAATCTTTAAATTCAAACTAATGAAATTATCCTCATGTTTTACCAATGTGATGAAAAGAACCTGCACTCCAACTGAGATCTAATTCTGGACAGCCCCTATCAAGTTCATGTCTTATGGAATACAAAACCAGTAAAACAGGTTCTCTATAGAGTGATGAGTGTTTTAATTTCTTAATGCTTTCATTTCCTAAAACAAATGCAAAACAAATTCTACTTAATGTGAATTTTTTCTGAGCTTCTCTGTGGACACATTAATTACAGAAGCTTTAACGACTTCTTTAGCTACCAAACAGCTTCATTTTAGAGCCTCTCAGTCACATTGGTCCAGGCTCAGAAATGATGAATTTTTGACTTTCTAGTTACCTGTGATTTGTTACAGAACTGTGCTCATTTGAATGATGTATTTCACATTTAAATTGGATTAATTACATATCATATCACAAATGAAAAACATGAAAGAACTTCAGTGATTAAAAATCCACTGAACATTTCATCAACAATCTTTTTCTTTAGTAAAAGAAGCTTCTGAGGTTTAAGAGTGGATGACTGAAAGATTTTCACTTGATGTCAACACAAAAACACATTATTCACTCAGGAATCTGCCATGTTTATCTCATAATAGACAAAGAAAATGGTTGAGGCAGAAAAACCGGAAAACAGATCTGCGCATTCAGCTCTACTTCAGACTTTACCAGGATAACCTGATAGAAAACATGTCAGACTTTGAACCCGTCGGTCACTTAAACTATATCTAGTTAAGGTAAAAAGAAACAAACTTTGATAATTACTGTTACAGTACCTTGTTTTTCTCCGGAGTGAGGTGCGTCAAAGCGATCGAGACTGAAGTGAAACCATCTTTCTCTCACTGCTGTCAAACCATTTCATGGGCGTGTTCATGTATTACCTTGTATTACCTGGTTTGTCTCCGAAGTGAAGTGCGTCTAAAGTAAATCTCGCAAAAGTCAGTTGAGTAAGAATGCTGTCAAACCAGTTCATGGGTGAGTTCATGTATTAGGTTTGAAATACTTTCGTATTCATCTGTCCTTTCATATTTAAAGTTTTTAAACAGCCAGATGGTGAAAGAGCTTTTATTCTCATCAGGATGAGAACGTTTTTTAAGTGGTGAGATATATTTCATAGAACTGTATATCTTACATTTTCCTGCATAAGCAAACTCAGTATACTGAACTGAGATCTTTTCAGATGGGCTTGAATTAATTATGTAAAAGAGATAGTCAGAGCATCTTTCCCAATGTTATTTTTTTCACTTCAACAAAATGCCTTATCATAGTTCATCATATGCAAATGTACTATTTGTTTAGCAGGTAGTCTGTAAACAGAATCCCTGAGTGAGGTAACAACTGCCTGTAGAGAGAATTTACATTTTTGGTGTATTTCAGATTAAATGATGGATCATATTCTGATTCTAAAAGAGGGCTTGAGGCTAACAGTATTACTTTTCTGTCAAATTAATTTAGTCAGAAATTAAATTTAAAATCAGACAAAGGCAGTGTTAGAGCATATAGATAAAGACAAAAACAAATTAATATTGACTGCATGTTTTTTTATTGGAACATCCACATACATGAAGGACAGTCGAGGGAAACTTCTACATATGTCACCTCTTAATTCTGGAAATTGCTGTTGATGTCAAACTAACATCGGTGTTTAGTTCTGTTTACATTTTGTTATCATATTTTCTCTCCTGTTGTGGTCATTTTAACTCCTTAAAACAAAATAGCCTTTTAGCTTCATAATAGACAAAGTTAGTTTCTTTATGGTTTTCTAATAAAAGCGAATAATGAAAGCAGAAGCCACTTGTATTGCAGATTAATGTGTTGGAAAAAAAACTATTCAATCTGGGGTTAGTTAAATCAGTTATAGACCCAAATGTCACTAAGCTAAAAATACACGTAGAGCAATAAGTGATGACAGCTAAACAGTGAATGTGGTGTGGAGGGTGTGGAGGTGGATCAGTTTTTCTGAA